TAAGGGATTTATGTCAATTACTCTTTGATTAGTTCCCCCTGTCAGGTTGCCCTGGATGGAAGAACCTGTTCCATCACCTGTTCCTTCAGTTGGTGCCATTTTGACTTGTGCTGAGGCTTCAGTCAAGTCCTTTACCAATCCAATGGCTTCATCTTCATGTTCCTACCTCTTAGAAAGAATGTTAGTTTCATCAAATACTACATGTACACTTTCTTCTACACACAAAGTTCTTTTATTAAACACTTTATATGCTTTACTATGTGAAGAATATCCCAAGAATACTCCCTCATCACTTCTGGGATCAAACTTACCTAGGGAGTCTTTTCCATTATTGTGCACATAGCACTTACAACCAAATGCCCTAAGATGGGATATGTTTGGTTTTCTCCCTTTAAGTAACTCATAGGGAGTCTTCTCTACAAGAGGTCTAGTCATGCATCTATTGATTATGTAGCATGCAGTGTTTACAGCCTCTGCCCAGAAGCTGTGAGGCAGTTTGCTAGAAAGCAGCATGGTCCTAGCCATGTCCTCAAGAGTCCTATTCTTTCTTTCAACTACTCTATTTTTTTGAGGAGTCCTAGGGGCAGAGAAATTATGATCTATACCATTTTCATCACAGAATTCAGCAAACTTGGAGTTTTTAAATTCAGTTCCATGATCAGACCTAATGGATGCAAGTTGATTTCCTAATTGTTTTTGAGTTTTTCTAACAAATGCAGTAAACATGTCAAATGCTTCATCTTTGGAAGTTAGAAATAGAACCCAGGTAAATCTAGAATAGTCATCAACAAGCACCATTACATATTTATTTCCACCTCTGCTCATGGTTCTCATTGGACCACAGAGATCCATATGGACCAGTTCCAACGACTTGGTTGTGCTTACCATTTTCTTGCTCTTGAACGATGATCTTACCTACTTCCCCCTTGCACATGCCTCACAAACTTTGTCTTCCTTGAACTTGATGTTGGGTAAACCTATCACCAAGTCCTTAGAGACTAATTTATTTAGCTGATTCAGACTGGCATGACCAAGTCTTTTGTGCCACATGAGGGGATCATTAACCAGCACACTTAGGCAAGTGATTTCATTTTCTGAGAGAGTGGACAAATCTACAATGTAAATATTGTTTACTCTCTTTCCCTGCAAAACAATCTTGTCAGTGGTAAGATTTATCACAAAGCATTTAGTAGAGGTGAATGCTACCAGGTTACCTCTGTCACATAGTTGTGACACACTAATCGGGCTATATTTCAAGCCATCTATCAAGTAGACATTCTCAATGGAGTGAGAGT